TTGGTTCACATTTGGGCATTCTGTCCATATGGAACCTGGTTCAAGTCCTCAGTGGACTTTTTGCCCTTCACAGTTTTATCAGCTTGGACCACCTGACTTTATTTGGTCATAACTTCTTCGTTCTAAACCCAAATAGGGTTATTCTTGAGTCCATTTTTTAGGATTTTGAGTTAGCTTTCCTATGAGACCAACCTCATCTTCAAATTCTATTCATGTTGAGTTTCCCTTGAACCAAGTAAGAGGACTTTTGGGAATTCATAATCGATGGCCGTAAAACCTCTTCGAACATCATGGAACGACTTGAATGATTGTTTTAAACCTCATTTGACAAGTTTAAGGTCATATTATCCTCTTATATCGTAAAATAACCATTTTACCCCTAGTGTATCATCGGGTTTGGTTAAGGACTCGGTTAGCGATTCGGACCCCCGATTCAGGTCGTTACACTTTTGGCAAGAGGGTTATTTAGTTATAATTCAAGTACTTTCAAATATTCTACTCACTTATCCCACACTAAGACATTGATCACCTTTCTGCAGAATAAATACCTTCATGTAGGTAAGTGCACTGCGAGACCTCAATAAGACCAATGTCTTAAATTTCAAAAAATAATAACCTCTGTGAGCGTGTCACCTTTTGCAGGTATCACCCACTTTGGCTACGACCTTTGAAATGGTCACTTTACCGGTCTTCTCAAATCCCAAGGAAGAACCTAAACTACAGAAGTTTCGTTTATTTAAGTTCAACAATCTCTTTATAATGCACATAAACTAAACCCAAATATTATGGAATACTTAATTTCACGTAATATAAATGGTTATAACACACACAAAAAATAAATAAATAAATAAATTTCCTAATCTTCCTCATATATATCAAAAAATTATAGTAAACAATATAATAACATGCACTTTAATCAAGATTTTAAAAAATCTCAATTCTTTTTATACTTTAATTGAGAGAAAATTATAAATACTTGATGCATGTATATTATATATTCAGTAAACAATTTAAAGTATTTGAATTTTTAAATCAATCAAGTCAATATTACTTGCTTATTGCACGCAAGCTCCATAGGTTTTCCAACCTAAAAATAAACAATTAAAGACTTGAATCCAAATATGATAGAACAACATATGAACATGAACCAAATATCACTCAACTGAGAATAATAAAATAAATATTGAATACCATCCATGTACATAACATTATTTGAAGCATGTAAACAAATTACACGCATTAAATATATATCCATTACTCACAATTTAATCACAAATATCTTACTGGTTGAAGAAAAGAGTTTTAAAGCTTTATTAGTATCATGACTGAATTTATAATTGGAAATTCTAATAGCCAGTAAATATTTTGAATCTTTATTACATATAGCAATTGTGACCTCTAAAATTCTTCGTGAAAATAAAGTATTCAATGCATACTGTATCTTTAAAACTTTAAACAATAAATCTAACATGCACTATTTTCATATTTAATTAATGGGTTAATATTCAAAGAAATGCATGCTTGTGTACATGATGCAACTTTAGATGTATCCATGGATACAAAGCTACAAGCTACATTTTTAAGTTTAATTTATTGGAGCACATATTTTTATTAATCACGTCTAATGATGTTGTGTATAAATTTTTTTCAAGAGTGAACAATCTTATACTAATCCAATAATAATTCTCACCAGAGTATTACATTAAATAGAATAATAATTTCAAAAAGAAACAAACCTAGCTTTTATATATATATATATATATATATACACATATATATATACATCTCAAATATATATAATTCAAAAGTAACCAAAACTTTTTGAATTTTACCATTAAAATTTATATATATATACATCTCAAATATATAGAATTCAAAAGTAACCAAAACTTTTTGAATTTTACCATTAAAATTAATATAATAAAATACTACTAACAACAATGGAATTCTCAATTATAAAATGCATATATATATATATATATGCATTTTATAATTGAGAATTCCATTATTATATATATATATATATATATTATTATGCATGTAACTCTTTCGGCGTGCACAATATAAAACGTGCCTTATAAAGCATTTAAGTTTTCAGAATTAAATCCATTGACTTTTTCTTTCTTGTTCGTCGTGTATGCTTTATAAAAGAAACAAATTCTGATATATTGAGTAACAAATTTGGTTGCTTAAAAAATTTCTCGTTTGGCGTGCACAATTTATAAAGGAAACGAATTTTAATACATTGCTTTACAAATTGGTTCATGCTTGCAGCGTGCACAATATATGATAGTATTTTAAAACAAACCCTTATATGATTATATATAAATTAATTACATATCCATACCAATACAAACATACACAATTTTCAACATTACATCTAATTTCACTCACGAAAATCAAGGACACAAAGTTACAAAAAATATAAAGTTTACACAATTGGTGCGATTTCAAATATTAATAATTATTTATTTATAATTCAAATACACTGACTCAAGTATACTAGATTATATAAATTAATCTTTACTATTTTGATTTCTACAAACCTTGATCTAATATCAATTGTTGAGTTTTATTTCAATACTTAATGTAAAAATCAAGAATCTTTAATTAATTAAAGAGGAGAATCTTACTTCGTACTTGATTAATCCTAATTGTTTTAAAACCCTTATAATAATAGGAGAACGGCTTCCCTACCAATAAGCATACCTAAATCTCCCTTCCTATCATGTAAACTTAGATATCAATACTTAGAATAACTTAAATATTAATAGTTAGAATTAAATCACACAACATAAGTTGGAAAACCACAATTGAACGATATAAAACCATACTCCGAACAAACAAAGTACATACAACCATAAAATAATTTTTATTATTTATATATATAAAAGTTTCCAACAACCTCCACAAATTTAGGTGGCACATCAAGACAAAGAGAGTTATCAAGAGAAGAGTTGCATTTGTTATCTATAATTCTACCAAATCTCAGATTTTGATTTGTATTAGGTAAATTCTGTCTTATGCAGCTCTCCATTGCAATAATAGTAATTAATGGAGGCAAAATAAAAAAAAATAAAAAAAATAAAAAGGCCAAGCGAAAGAAGCATTTGCCTCTGTATGTGGTTATTTATAAATGCAGTCCAACCTATATAAATTAATTTCAACAAAGCTGAGGAACAAGTCAACAAAATTGTCCTTCCCATACGGCAAATGATAAAGAAAACGTTGAAATATGCCTCAACATGTGACTTAGGACAGGTTAATATTCAGAAGCTATATTAATTGTTCCCCTTGTGACCCTGCTTGACCCCTAACGTCTCTCTCTCACCCTCTCTCTCTCTCTCTATATATATATATATATCTGAGACCTTTGTATTTGCAGAAGATTTCTTTGAATAGAGAAAACAAGTTAATCATACGTATTTTGTGCAGAGAACTCTTTTAAGTTTTTTCTTCTATACACATTTGGAGCTTCCACTACTCTGCATAAAATGAAGAAAAATCTTCCACCAAAAGCCTTTTGCTTCATGCTTCTCTTTCTTCTCTTAGGGCTCCCTTCCTTGGCTATCCACGGTTCGTTCTCTCTCTCTCCTATACATACACATATGTGTGTGTGTGTTTGTGTAACAACTAACACATCACACATTCATTTTACTATGTGGTATTTGTTTAATGAAGTGCTGACATTTTTTTCTGGTGATTTCAATTAACACAGAGGGACCTTCGTATGACAATTCTGCTTACACCGAGGTAGATTCAATATTAATCCTCATTTCTTTCAGAATTAAGTTTAATGTTTAGCTTATACAGTTCTACTACATACGTAGTAATACAATTAAGGAGGTACATAGGTTTGTTCATTGTGATGAGTCTTGTGCTAATTTAAGCTGCAATTAAGCCATGCAGTGTAAAGCATTACCAGAGGATCCACTTTACCATGGTGGGATCATCAAATTCAAGAAGGGTCACAATCATGTAAACTCCCCCATTATGCCTACTTTGGTGTTCAACAATCTCACTGCCAACACCATCTACTGTTTCTCCAGTTGAGTTTCAATCTCTCTATTTATTTCAATTTCAAAGCTATAAATTAATTAGTCTCTCAATTTGTAACCACTTGATTACAATGCATGGTACAAAAGTTGCAAATCCAAAGATGGATACAATGTTGCATTTCTTAAATAAAAATAAAAAAACTTGTTTATAGTGGAGCTTCCTATGTAGACATACATAATAGACTTGTCTATTTGTTACTTTTTCTAATTCATGTACTCAATGTAACAGTTGGGACCATTACTTGGGTCTGAGCTTGTGTTTGTATTACGGCCTGGTACGACCCAGATTGGTCAAAAGATTTGGTGGGACCCTTGCCCAGGCCACCCTGTTTTTTATTTTTAAAGAAATGCTAAAAGACCCTATTACTGTTCACCCGGCATAAGCCGACACACACTTGTCAAATGCAAATTGGTACAACTGGGCAGCCGATTTTTCCCTTTCTTGACGCAACTTTACTTTCTCTCATCTCTCTTTCGATCCTCTTTCTCCGTTCTCTCTCCGGTGGAGAATCCTTCATCTCTCTCGAACGTTCCCTTCTCCTTCCCTTCTCTCTCGGTTAATCACAAGTTTTTTTTTGCTTTCTTGTGAAGACCCATTTCTTCCAAGTTCATCATCGCCGGGATTTCACTGTCGGCAATGATAAGCTTCTGGCCGGTGCTTGTCTTCTCCATCGTCGGCGTCTCCGTCGCTGATCTGCTTTCTTCTCCATACTTAGACTCGCCAACCTTGATTGTATCGAAACCATCAAACTGTCATGGTCGAGGACCAAACTCACCTCCACCACGGTAGACCCAGTTCCGCATTTGCTACCCAAACCAAAGGAGACCAACACAATTCCGGCGACGAAGTGAGATGATGGCGATGCTGCGATGAAGTGAGATTATCCTGTCGGCGATGAAGTGAGATGATCCCTCTGGTTTCACAGAATAGTTGGGTCGGCGATGAAGATCCAGAGATGTCGATCTTGTTGTGATGGAGGCGGCGGCGGCGGCGAGCAAGAGATGGGCTATGGTGCTGCACCGATTGCGACTCGCGGAGGCGTGATGGCAGTAAGTGTGGGCTTTGGACAACGGTAGAAGCTTGCTATGAGGATGTTGATGGCGGCGCCGGCGAAAAGGGAGATGGCTGGGTCCGATCCGGTCATGGAGAGCTGGCAAAACAGATCCGGGTCTTGGACTTGCAACGCGGTATGCTTGCGGCGGCGGTGCCCAGCTGGATGGTTCGGACGGTTCGCTGCACCGGCGAGGAGCAGCTGGAGATTGGCAAGCTTAATCAGCTGTGGATGGCGGTTGGAGCTAGTGAACAACAGACGAGGGAGAATGAAAGATGTGAGTTTGATTCTTACAGATTTTGTAGTTTAGAGAGAGAGAGGATGGTTTTACAGGTGGACGCGGAATTTTAGCCAGAAAGATGGGTTCGTCGCCGATTGTTAGAGAAAGAGAGAGGAGGGAAAATTGCCACGTTGGACAGCCGCCTACGCAGTCGGTTTTTTTTGGGGTAAATAGTGGTCGGGTCGTATAGCACCGATCTTATTTTTATCATTAGGCAAAAGTGAAAAAAAAAACTCGAACTATTACCAAGATTGCAAATATCACCTAAACTATCAAACGTTGCCAATCGAACCCTGTACTATAAAAAAAAAAATGTTGCAAAAAGGACTCTCCAGGTCACCGAACCACAATTTTCGGCCACCGGATGGTCAGAATTACCAAAATACCCCCATTTATTAATTTATAGAAAAATTGTAAAATATCATAAATGTACAATACGCATAATACCCTTCAGGGACCATATTGCAGCTAACCAATAGTTCAGGAAATTTTTTACAGTTTTGTCTAATAATAAACCATATCAATAATAATAATAATATTAATAATAACTAATAGTATTAGTAGTAGTAATACTAATACTACTACTATTAATAACAGTAGTAGTAGTAATAATAATAATATTAATAATAATATTAAAATTATTAATAATAGTAGTAGTAGTATTAATAATAATAATAATAATAATAAATTGCTTAGTTGCAAGATATGTGAATCACTTTAGTCCCTGCGAATTAAAAATAAAAATAAAAATTTAACAATAAGAATAATAATAACTAATAATAATAGTACTAGTAGTGATAGTAGTAATAATAATAAAAATTTAAAATAATAATAATAATAAATTGCTTGATTGGTTGCTTGATGAATCCATATACTTATAAATAATTTTTGCAAGCTCATAAATTATATATAAAAAAACAAATAAATAAATTTAAAAAATGACGATATTAAACATATTTGTACATACATGTGTATATATGAAAATACTTTTTAAAGTGAAAAATTAGGCAAATTTTTATTTGTTTTAAAATATATTCCTTGAAAAATATTTTTTATTTAAATTTTTTGAGATAAAATATATTTTTTTTAATTTTTTTTTTCGGTGTTTGGCAAATGTCTTGAAAAAAATTTCCAGAACAAACGCATAAGTTATTTTTTTTTAAGGTTTTTGTAAATTATTTTACTCAGAAAATATTTTACTTAAATTTTGGCCGACCAAATACAAAAAAATAAAAAAATAAAATATTTTCCACCCAAACAAATGAAGCCCAAAACAATGGTAAAGAAAGAGAATATTAATGAGCTAATGTAATGCATGGATTCCACGTAAATTCGTAATCTATCTATTGGTCACTTTCTTTTTTAATCGGTCAGTTTGGTGACATATATATAATTTCTCTTGTACTTTTTTATTTTTGGCGCACAGTTAGTCCGGTGTAGATATTACTATTATTTACCCCACAAAATACATATATTACTATTACACAGTCAACTCAACTAACACTTCATTTTTTTTTTTTTTTTTTTTTTTTGACAATTTATGAGCTTGCAAAAATTATTTATAGGTATTTATTTTTGCTATTATTATAAACTTTTATTATTATTACCACCACCACCTTAAAATTTTATTTTTGCTGCTACTACTAGTATTATTTTTATTATTATTCTTATCGTTAATTCACAAGGGTTAAAAGTGATTGACATATCTTGCAACTAAGCAATTTATTTTTGTTATTATTATTATTCTATTATTATAATTAATACTACTACAACTATTACTATTATTATAGTAGTAGTTACTACTACTAATATTATTAGTTATTATTAATATTATTATTATTGATATGGTTTATTATTATTAGGCAAAATTGCAAAAATATCCCCTGAACTATTGGTTAGTTGCAATATGGCCTTTGAAGGGTATTATGGGTATTGTATATTTTTGATATGTTATAATTTTTATATAAATTAATAAGTGGGGGTATTTTGATAATTTTGACCCTCTGATCGCCAAAAAATGTGGTCCGGTAACCGAGAGGATCCTTTTTGCAACCTTTTTTATAGTGTGGGGTTCGATTTGTAACGTTTAATAATTTAGGGGAAAATTTGCAATCTTGGTAATAGTTCAAGGATTTTTTTTTTTTTTTTTTTTTTTACACTTTTGCCTGATTATTATTACTATTTTCCGTAAATAAAATACTTTTTTAAGTATTAAAAAAATTATAATCTGACTTCCACGAGCCGACAACTGCCTTTAAAATTGCTAATTTCTAAGGGGCACTGAAAAGTTGATCATTTTCTGAAAAAACGAGATTGTGAAGTGTAGCCTATTGTTTAAAGTACTCTGAACTATTTTTATTTTTATTTTAAGGTGCGGATTCATTACTCACAACGCAAAGTAAATGATTTTTTTTTTTTTTTTTTTTTTTTTTTTTCAGTTATAACACATAATTATTGAATAATTTTTTTTTTTTTTCCGGAAGGTAAATGTCTTTCTTGGTTCGGCTGCCGCGAATTATTGAATAATGTTGCACGATGTTGTTGAACAGGTTGGGTAAAAATAAAGGGTGCAAATTCAGCTCTGGTAATGGCAAACCTAACAATGGATAATACTACATTCCAGTGTGTAGGGACTGTTATCGCTAGGCGTGGTTGCTGGTCATTTCTCAAAGGTGGATTTGTTCTTGATTCACCCTCATCTCACTCTTTCCTCTACTTTCTGGTATTCTTACTTTCAATACATTGTCATAAAAATTCACAAATTTGCTAAATTTACAAGTGCCATGAGACTTAAAAAGAAATGGAAGCAAAAAAAAAAAAGGCCAACCTTATTTTTGATAATTTTTTCTGATGCAGAACACAGATGGGAGAGTGATCAATATAAGAATTGCTAGTGCTTCTTTGCAGCCATTTACAGATGAGCAATGGAGAACAAACCAACAACACCAAATCAACACTGTAACTACTAGAAACTCCATGGTTGATGGCTTTATTTGATTTTTGGGCAAGAAGTCTGAGGAAACAAAATGAAAATTTGAAAATTTTCAACATCCATTTTTTATCTTATTTTTTTCTCAAATAGTCAAGAATTACTAAATTTTCTATATCTCTTACCAATTTTTAATTTTCTTTGTGTAGGAAAGAAAGCGCGCAGTCACAATTCATGTCTCAGATGGACATGGAGATAGGTTGCTAGGAGCAAGTATTATAGTAGAGCAAGTTTCAAGTGATTTCCCATTCGGTTCTGCTATAGCAAAGACCATTCTTGGAAATTTGCCCTATCAGGTTGGTACAGTCCATATCCTACATTGAATTCTAATGAGCCTTTGAGAAACCGAAATTTATAACTAAAATAACATATAATTTGTTTCAGAATTGGTTTGTTGAGAGATTCAACACTGCTGTTTTTGAAGATGAACTCAAGTGGTACTCTACAGAACCCCAACCAGGGAAGGTCAACTACACAATACCAAATCAAATGCTAGAATTTGTTAGAGCTAACCAAATTATGGTCAGAGGCCATAACATCTTCTGGGAAAATCCTAAGTTTAATCCTTCATGGGTTCGCAACCTAACAGGTCCTGAGCTAAAGTCAGCTGTCAACTCCCGAATACAAAGTCTAATGAGTAACTACAAAAATGAATTCATACACTGGGATGTCAACAATGAAATGCTTCATTTTGATTTCTATGAGCAGAGGCTTGGTCCTAATGCCAGTTTCCACTTTTTTGAGATGGCGCACCAGTCAGATCCTCTGGCAACCTTGTTTATGAATGAATTCAATGTGGTGGAGACTTGCAACGATGTTAATTCCACCGTTGACACCTACATTTCGAGGCTAAGAGAACTCAAACGCAGTGGTGTGTCGATGGATGGAATCGGCCTAGAAGCCCACTTTACAGTACCAAACCCTCCTCTAATCAGAGCTGTCCTAGACAAGTTAGCCACACTAGAGCTTCCTATTTGGTTTACAGAGGTTGATATCAGCGATACACTTGATAAGGAAACACAGGTACGCAATTATAACAATTATCAAGATTTTCCAACTAATTTAAGCCACTTAAGCAGTAAACATAAATACACCAAAGTTTAGTAAATTCTTTAATCTCTTCATTATTAAAAAAAATTAAACCAGTTTGATATCATTAAGTGAATATTTGGTGTGAATATTTCAATGAAATCTCCCACTAAATTTGGTTTTCCCGTTTGTTACTGTTTCGTAGGCTTCATATCTTGAAGTAGTGTTGAGAGAAGGCTTCTCACACCCTTCTGTCAATGGAATAATGCTCTGGACTGCACTGCACCCATATGGGTGCTACCGAATGTGCCTCACAGATAATAATTTTCATAACCTCCCAGCCGGAGATGTCGTGGACAAGCTCCTGAAAGAATGGCAAACTGGAGTGGTGGAGGGTCAGACGGATGACCATGGTTCATATAGTTTTTATGGATTTTTAGGAGAGTACAAGGCGACTGTGAAGTATGGCAACAGAACTGCAAATTCAACATTCTCTGTCTGTCAAAGTGACGAAACTAGACATTTTAGCATTCAAGTATTGTAAGCATTTTGTAACGATTCCAAAACTGATACTTTTTAAACAAAAAAAAAAAAATTCGGCATGACCTCCCCTAAAAATAGGCCTATCACAACCTGTTTAAATTCATTTTTAACCTATCATGGCTCAAATTCCGAATTCACGGCAATTGTAGATGATAATACACAATCAAATGACCTCAATAATACTTCAAACTAGTATTACTCTCCCCATTCATCAATAAGGTTTACATGTTATTAAATTCACATCCAAAATATCATCTAATAACATAATTATATTACCTAACCATGGTTTTGAAAAATAAATACACATTACTACACTTTTGGGGCCTTACAAAAATGGGAGATATACAAAAGATACAAAATGAGCTCCAAGTCATCCTTAAGCTTGTGGAAGATCGGCATCCACTACCTCCTTATCGGTTCCTGAAAAATGTTAAATAAAATGGGGTGAGCATAAAGCTCAGTAGAGAGTGCCTAAGACGCACCTCTTGTAGCCCCGTGAATCCAAACAAAGCATAGGCCAATAGGAAGAGGGGTCATGCAAAATGAGGGAAACACATATTAAATTCCAATTCCAAACAATCATATGTAAAATGCCATGAATGCTATGATATGCGTGTCACTCCCCATTTCTCAGAAAACAACCATACTTTTCAAACTGTTAATATAACCCGCCCTTTGGTGACCCCGCAGCGACACGAGAGGAGGATTGGCTAGTGTCCCTGACCCTTGGTAACCCCGCGGCGTCATTATGGGGCCCAGCTAGCTCAACCACGCTAGGGCGACTCCCTAGTCCCCTCTAGGCTATATTAACCTCCGGCCCTTTGGTACCCCCGCGGCGACCGGGTTTCTCAAAAAAAAACTTTTTCAACAAAGCTTTCCCGAAAATCCCCATTCTTTCATTTTTCAAAAGTCATTTCCATACGTGCAATCCCCAATGATGAATTCATGAATGCCACATACTTTCAATGTTGTAATATAAGGGATTTCTAACATTTGTCGTGCCGTGACAATATCATAAAATGGGGAATTTAATACCACAATTTACCACACATGCTCACAACAATCAACTAGATATTTAGCATTATAATAAGCATGATAAATCAACCATTTATCACAATTTCCATACAATCCAACAAATACACATAGATACATGTTTCACATACACAATTAAATCATTTAAGGAGTAATCCATCTAAACTAAGCATGCTTATCACATAAGTCAACAAACACACATATATAAAATCTTTATATGCACCATTAAATCATTTTTAAAGCAATCAACCTTAAATCAAGCATGTTTGGCCAAAATTCTAGAGGAATAACTCACTAAGGTACAAGAAAAGTGTGAATTAGACACCTTTACCTCTAATTGAGCAAAAACCCCAATTTTCTTCGCAAACCCTAGAAATGGGTCCTAAGATTCGAACTCCAAGGAGTGCACTAAATCTGAAATCGCTTGTATGGATGTGTAGAGCTTGACACGAGCTTCGTTTTGCCTCAAACGGCACTCAATTTCGATAAGAAATGAGATCAAGATCTTGTTTCAAAGTTTTGGAAATTAAAATGAAAAGAAAAACCGAGAGGAAGAGGGGAAGAGAGAGGCGCACGGGAGAGAAGGAGAGAAATGAGACCATTTGTGGTCTCTTGGCCCTTAGTTGGTTTAATGGTAGGTCCCACCACCTTTTATTTTCTTTTTCCTTTAACTTTTTGCTTAAATTTGAGCCATAACACAACATAATACACATATTATATATACACCTATGCACATAAATACACAGACATTACATTCTCCCCAACTTAAAAGGATTTCGTCCCCGAAATCAAGACATACCTGAGGAAGAAAACAACACTGGGTACTTGGACCAAACCTCCTGTTCGAGCTCCCAAGTAGCTTCCTCGACTCTGTGGTGTCTCCAAAGGACTTTCACCATTGGTATCGTCTTGTTCCTCAACACCTTCTGTTGTGTGTCAAGGATCTAAACTGGTCCTTCCTCGTAGGAAACATCCTCATCAATGTCCACATCTACCCAACTCAAAATGTGAGATGGATCCGGTTCGTACTTCCGTAACATCGATACATGGAAAACATTGTGGACCCTATCCAACTGTGGTGGCAAAGCAAGCCTGTAGGCAACCTCTCCTACTCGGTCCAAAATCTCGAATGGTCCAATAAATCGTGGCGATAACTTGCCACTCTTCCCAAATCTCATCAATCCCTTCCGTGGAGAAACCCGTAGAAAAACGTGGTCTCCCACCTCAAAGGATAACGGTCGTCTCCGCTTATCCGCATAGCTCTTCTGTCGGCTCTGAGCTGTAAGTAACCTCTGTCTTATCAACTTAATCTTCTCAGTAGTCTCGAGTACAATGTCGGGTCCTAAGGCGGCTGTCTCGCCTACCTCAGTCCAACAAACAGGAGACCTACAAGGTCTACCATACAACGCCTCAAATGGAGCCATCTGGATGCTCGCCTGATAACTGTTGTTGTAGGCAAACTCAATAAGTGGAAGGTGATCCTCCCAACTACCTCCCAAATCAAGTACACATGCCCGAAGCATATCCTCCAAAATCTGAATAGTACGCTCCGACTGACCGTCTGTCTGTGGATGGAATGCCGTACTAAGATGCAACGCTGAACCAAACGCTGCTTGAAGTCCTTCCCAGAACTTCGAAGTGAACTTGGCATCCCTATCTGACACAATGGTTACAGGGACTCCATGTAACCTTACAATCTCTTTCACATAAAGAACACCAAGCTTCTCTGTATCATTTGTTGCCTTAATAGGCAAAAAGTGAGCCGTCTTGGTCAATCTGTCAATGATGACCCATACGGCCTCATTGCCCCTCCTTGACCTTGGAAAACCTGTCACAAAATCCATAGCAATATGCTCCCATTTCCATTGCGCTACAGGTAACGGTTGCAACAAACCTGCTGGCCTCTGATGCTCGGCCTTCACCTGCTGACAGGTAAGGCATCTAGCCACAAACTGTGCAATATCATTCTTCATCCCGCTCCACCAATACTGACGCCTCAAATTGTGATACATTTTAGTACCACCTGGATGAACTGCAAAGCGGGAAGTGTGAAACTCCCGTAGGACATCCTCACGACAAACTATGGGAACCACCAACAAGCCCCTGAACCGTAGACCCCCATCTGCATGCAAGGCCCAATCTTTCACTGTCTCACCACTAGAGATCAAAGCGTGGATGGCATCTAAGTCCAGGTCCTGTCTCTGTGACTCAATCACTCGTACAACAAGAGTAGGCTGAGCCACAAGACTAAATAAGAATGCCGACTCACTGCAAGCATCATCATCACAACACTGTAATCCCATATCTGCCAGATCTTCAAGCATCTTCCACTTCTGAATAGCTAAACTGGCCAAAGTTCCACGAGATTTTTGGCTTAAGGCATCCGCTACCACATTCGCCTTGCCCGGATGATATTGCAAGTCAAAATTGTAGTCCTCCAAGAATTCGACCCATCGCCTCTGTCTGTTGTTCAAGTCCTTTTGGGAGAAAAGGTACTTGAGACTTTTGTGATCTGAAAATACCTAGAATCTCTCACCATACAAGTAATGTCTCCAACACTTCAAGGCAAATACAACTGCCGCTAACTCCAGGTCATGAGTAGGGTAGTTGTACTCATGAGTCTTCAACTGTCGAGACCCATAAGCCACTACTCTACCATCCTGCATCAACACACATCCCAACCCGTCACGTGAAGCATCACAATAGATCACATAACCTAAGCCACACTCAGGTATCACCAACACTGGAGCTGTAGTCAATCTCGTCTTCAACTCCTGAAAAGATGAATCACAGGCCTCATTCCAGACAAACTTGACCCCTTTCCGGGTCAAACGGGTCATAGGAGCTGCCAAACGGGAGAAATCCTTCACAAATCTCCGATAGTAACCCGCTAAACCAAGGAAACTGCGGATCTCAAACATATTCTTGGGTCGCTCCCAAGTCAAAACTGCTTCAACCTTTGATGGATCAACTGATACTCCACCTTCTGAAACAACATGCCCCAAAAACTTCACCTCTTGTAGCCAAAACTCACATTTCTCGTATTTGGCATACAATCGGTGTTCCCGCAAAATCTGTAAAACAATACTCAAATGGACCTCGTGATCTTCCCGAGTCCGTGAGTACACAAGAATGTCATCCACGAAAACTACCACAAATTGGTCCAAGTAATCATGAAAGACGCGGTTCATCAAGTCCATGAATGCTGCTGGCGCATTAATCAAGCCAAAAGGCATAACAAGGAACTCATAGTGTCCATACCGTGTACGGAATGCTGTCTTCGGGATATACTCATCCCTAACCCGCAACTGATAATAGCCAGACCTCAAGTCAATCTTCGAGAAACAACTGGCTCCCCTCAACTGATCAAATAAATTATCTATCCTTGGCAAAGGATACTTATTCTTGATGGTGGCACGATTCAACTTCCTATAATCAATGCACAACCTCAAAGAACCATCTTTCTTCTTAGCAAACAAGACCGGTGCGCCCCACGGTGACACACTCGGTCGGGTGAAACCTTTCATCCTCAAATCATCAAATTATCTTTTTAATTTCTCCAATTCAACTGGTGCCATACGATACGGTGCCATAGAAATCGGCACGGTACCTGGCATTAAATCAATAGAGAACTCCACTCCTCGGTGTGGAGGCAACTCTGTCAAATCCTCCGGAAATATGTCCAGAAAATCACAAACAACCGCAGGATAATCCTCTTTCCCAACATCATCTTCTTCGGCTATAAGGCTAGCCAAGAAGTAATCACCATGACTTCGTTCACGAACTCCATAAAACGATGAAATGTGGGAATCACTCCGATCTCCCACGAAAAAGAAACAGTCTCCCTCGGGAGTGCAAACTGTAACCCTTCCTCTGTAACAGTCGATCGTGGCATGAAATGAAGCCAACCAATCCATCCCGAGAATGACATCAAAGCAAGTCATCTCCAGGAGGATAAGGTCAAACACGAAAGTCCGCCCGACTATCACAATGGGACACTCCCGCACAATTCGGCTCAAAGACACTAAAACCCCAACTGGCGTATCAACACTCAACGCCCGTTCCAAGAAACTAACTTCCAACCCCGATGCAAGTGCAAATGATGATGAAATGAAAGAATGAGATGCACCAGAGTCAAACAAAACACGGGCTCAACAACCAAACACTGGAAATATATCTCGAAGAACTGACGGTCCAAAAGATGCATCGGTCTGTGCCAGTGCAAAAACACGTCCCTGTGGTACCTGTGCCTGAGGACTGCCAACCTGAACACCTGACTGCTGCACTGACATAGTAGGAGTATCCCTCCTAACTGACCGTGAACCCTGTGAAGACATGGCAGGCTGTGGTGGTGGCGGTCTGAAACCTGACTGAACTGTAGCCGACTGAGATGGCCTCTGTCGTAACCCCCTGCCACTACCCGTGCCTGCTCCCTAGCCTGGACAATCACGAATCAAGTGACCCTGCTGGCCACACCCATAACAAGCCTTCGGAGCTGACGAAACTGAAGACGATCTCATCGGACAACTGGACTTGTAATGTCCGGGCTGCTGACATTGAAAGCAAACAACTGCATTTCTATCAAACCCAGCTGGCAACGGAGTGGTAGGAGCGGATCGTACAGACTGCTGTCCCTGAAACTGAGATGGACTGCCCCTGTTCCTTTTCCAAGAAGATCCCTCTGAGGATGGCCCTGCACCCCTCTTTTGCTTCAATTGTTCTCTTCTTGCATCCTTCTCTCTATTGTCAGCCTCCAGCATCAAAGCCCTTTCCACTGCTTCAGAGTAAACCTTAATAAACTGTGCCGTGATCAACGGCCTCATTCGATCATTAAGACCCGAGACAAACTTCCGAGTCTTGTTAGCTTCATCTCTCACCACTTCTGGAGCAAAACGGGAGAGTGAGGTGAACTTGTTCTCATACTCCGCCACTGACATGTTCCCTTGAATAAGATTATGAAACTGGTCTTGTAACTCCCATCTTTTGGAAAGCGGAAAATACTTCTCATAAAACAGTTCATTGAACCTGTCCCAGCTCATCTCTTCAATCTTGTACTGGTTGGTGACTGACTTCCACCAAACCTTAGCATCCTTAGCAAACTTATACGTAGCTAGGATGATCTTTAGATGATCCTCTGTCACATCCATTGAAGTTAGTTGGGTTTCAACTTGATCCAAGTAGTCATCTGCTACCATTGGATCCGCACTGCCCTCAAACATAACCGGCATCAGCTGAGAAAACCCCTTAATGATCTTGAGACGCTTCTGAGCTGGAGTCTCCTCAACTTGAACTGTAGGTTGTGGTACCAACTGCGGCTGAGCAACAATAGTTGCTCTCACGACATTTTGCAACAAACGATTAAACTCCAGTGCCACAGAACCTTCACCCACTTCTACGGGTACGGGTGTTTCAACATTCTCTCTTCTTGGGGGAACAGCTCTTGGGGGAATCAAGTCCCTAAGAAGCATGTTCTCATCAACTGGCTCCGCCGGATTGGAGCTAGAGCTCTCACCAACATCGCCCCTTGTTGGCCTAGGGCCAACTTCTCTAGGTTCCTCACGCCGTGACATCGTGCTATAAAATAAGAAAACGATTCAGAAACATGACACTAAGGTCCACTGTGGACGACTCAACAAGAATTAATATCGTACAACACTTAGCATGCAAGACTATGCAAGAAACGTTTTAACATAAACAAGTAAGCAAGTAAGCACATAGGCAGTTAAGCATGCTCATTTAAATAAGATACCACGTAGCAAGTAGTCAAGTAAACAATATAAACAACATCCCATGCGACTCTATGTAGGCCTCTACCCGCCGTCCTAAAGGTTTTCGAACCTTTGCTCTGATACCACATTTGTAACGATTCCAAAACTGATACTTTTTAAACAAAAAAAAAAAATTTCGGCATGACCTCCCCTAAAAATAGGCCTATCACAACCTATTTAAATTCATTTTTAACCTATCATGGCTCAAATTCCGAATTCACGGCAATCGTAGATGATAATACACAATCAAATGACCTCAAAAATACTTCAAACTAGTATTACTCTCCCCATTCATCAATAAGGTTTACATGTTATCAAATTCACATCCAAAATATCATCTAATAACATAATTATATTACCTAACCATGGTTTTGAAAAATAAATACACATTACTACACTTTTGGGGCCTTACAAAAATGGGAGATATACAAAAGATACAAAATGAGCTCCAAGTCATCCTTAAGCTTGTGGAAGATCAGCATCCACTACCTCCTTACCGGTTCCTGGAAAATGTTAAATAAAATGGGGTGAGCATAAAGCTCAGTAGAGAGTGCCTAAGACGCACCTCTTGTAGCCCCGTGAATCCAAACAAAGCATAGGCCAATAGGAAGAGGGGTCATGCAAAATGAGGGAAACACATATTAAATTCCAATTCCAAACAATCATATGTAAAATGCCATGAATGCTATGATATGCGTGTCACTCCCCATTTCTCAGAAAACAACCATACTTTTCAAACTGTTAATATAACCCGCCCTTTGGTGACCCCGCAGCGACACGAGAGGAGGATTGGCTAGTGTCCCTGACCCTTGGTAACCCCGCGGCGTCATTAAGGGGCCCAGCTAGCTCAACCACGCTAGGGCGACTCCCTAGTCCCCTCTAGGCTATATTAACCTCCGGCCCTTTGGTACCCCCGCGGCGACCGGGTTTCTCAAAAAAAAACTTTTTCAACAAAGCTTTCCCGAAAATCCCCATTCTTTCATTTTTCAAAAGTCATTTCCATACGTGCAATCCCCAATGATGAATTCATGAATGCCACATACTTTCAATGTTGTAATATAAGGGATTTCTAACATTTGTCGTGCCGTGACAATATCATAAAATGGGGAATTTAATACCACAATTTACCACACATGCTCACAACAATCAACTAGATATTTAGCATTATAATAAGCATGATAAATCAACCATTTATCACAATTTCCATACAATCCAACAAATACACATAGATACATGTTTCACATACACAATTAAATCATTTAAGGAATAATCCATCTAAACTAAGCATGCTTATCACATAAGTCAACAAACACACATATATAAAATCTTTATATGCACCATTAAATCATTTTTAAAGCAATCAACCTTAAATCAAGCATGTTTGGCCAAAATTCTAGAGGAATAACTCACTAAGGTACAAGAAAAGTGTGAATTAGACACCTTTACCTCTAATTGAGCAAAAACCCCAATTTTCTTCGCAAACCCTAGAAATGGGTCCTAAGATTCGAACTCCAACGAGTGCACTAAATCTGAAATCGCTTGTATGGATGTGTAGAGCTTGACACGAGCTTCGTTTTGCCTCAAACGGCACTCAATTTCGATAAGAAATGAGATCAAGATCTTGTTTCAAAGTTTTGGAAATTAAAATGAAAAGAAAAACTGAGAGGAAGAGGGGAAGAGAGAGGCGCACGGGAGAGAAGGAGAGAAATGAGACCATTTGTGGTCTCTTGGCCCTTAGTTGGTTTAATGGTAGGTCCCACCACCTTTTATTTTCTTTTTCCTTTAACTTTTTGCTTAAATTTGAGCCATAACACAACATAATACACATATTATATATACACCTGTGCACATAAATACACAGACATTACACATTTTATATAGTTGTATTGTCAAGGCATAGTTATAAAGCATTTATTTTTTTCTGCATGTTGTTCTAATAATTACATATTTTCTATTGCGAAATTAAACAAAAAAACACAAAGAAGAGATCAAACATACACACAATAAGAACACACAATTTTACTTAGTTCACCTAAAATTTAGGATTACGTCCAAGGATTACAGTGATTTCATTAATGATAAAAATATATATATTCTCGCACTAGGATAACACAAGTGCAAAAATTACAGGTCGGGGGCATGCCCCCGAACCCCGCCTTCGGGCAGGGGGCTCTGCCCCTCCGACCTCCGCCAACTTATCTCTAAGTTAAACTTTGGTATACATTATCTATCTGATTCCACAATGTCCATCATTTTCCACTGCAAACAAATGACCACCTCTCTCATATTCAAAACTTTCGAACGTTTTTGTGTCACAAGCTTGAGATGATCACCTGAATGATTTTTGGTGGTCTGTTTTAAATGCACGTAAGCTATATCAATGATCTAAAACTATTCTTCGATATCGTTCACTAAAAATCACCTCTTTTAAAATGGTTAAATAGTGCATTTTTAAGGTAATCAAGAAGTAATTGTGAATGAAAAAGATATTGGGTGTGTCACACATACTATCTTATTAGTCTACACACCAATAAAAATATAATTTTTAAATTTGTTGTCAGTATTATGAAAGTTAAATTAGACAAATGTTATTGGATGTTACATTTTCATTAACTAAACATACCAATTGACACAAACAAATGAATGAAATTTCAAACAGATTGTGGAATTTGTAATACATTTTTGGGACATTTAATTTTTTTATTACAAATAAAGAAAAGTTGATAGAAGGCCATTGCTTTAATTCAATTCGGTTCGAAGACAATGTGAAACAACCAGAGCAGCATTCATTTGTGAGGGTGATAATAGAGTTCTTGAGCGAATGGGAGATCCGTAGCAATTTTCCTGTCTCAGTTGGGGTTGCACACCCATACACTCCTATTTACTACCTAATGTACAAGGTTCTCTCACTTTTAGAGCTTCTCACTATTGCTCTTGGAGCTTGTTACGGCTAAATCTTAGTGCTTGTTAATTACAAATAAGTCTCACCTATTTATAGGTATCTTCGCAACTCTTTAAAACTTTCCACACATTCTAAACATTTATAACACTACAAAATTCTCTAAAATTTTATGTACTCTCTACAACTATTTACAAGTCCTCTAAAACTTTAGAATCCTCCAAGTCTCTCTACACTCCATAATTTTCTATACTACTCTACAAGACGCCATGCACAACCTCCCTCCAAGCAGGGGTGGAGCTAGAAAATTTAGGTTTAGCGTCATATTTGTACTATGTAACTAAAGTTGATTTTTTTTTTTTTTTAAATCAATTGTAATATAATTTTGTTTAAATACTAGTCCTAGTATATAAACTTTGAGAAAATTTTAAAATGAGAAAAATACAAGTTAATAGTAGACGAAAAACTGATATTAGAAAGAAGAATATAGAGAAAATACAATGAGTTGCAATTAAAAAGAGAAAAGGTAAAGAAATAAACATTATTAAAGAATTAATTTTTCTTCATCAATTGTTTTAGTTTTTTAAAAATATAATTTTTGTAAGAAAAAAATTGAGTACTTTGATTTCACTTGGGAAAGATATACCTAGATGAAAGATTAGAAAAAAAAAAAATGAATTTTAAGTAAACAAAATAATTTTAAATTAAACAAGATGCCAATAAAGTTTGTTATGTAATTATAGATATTTTCTTGTAAATATCATTTTGCAAAAAAGTTTTGACAAGAAATGCTTAATGCATTTTAATTAAACATGAGGAAATATTAGTGATTTTTATCCCTTTTTTTTTCTTGAATTAATATTATAGATATTGTAAAAATGCATACGTAAATAAAATAACAATGTGTTGTGAAAACGACTACAATAATAATGAACTTAAATTTTTTAATTCTCAAATAAAATTTTGAAAAAATTGGAAAGAAATATTAACGATTACACGTACTAAATTTATTTTCAAACTATCTATTTTGCATCACTATATAAATATTTTGAAAAAATTGGAAGGGGCCAAATGAAATTTTTAATGAAATTTAGGTATAATATTTTTAAAAAAAGTTGGGAGGCCCCTGTTGGCCCACCCCTTCCCAAATGCGTTGGGTATGAAAAGTGAGTTATGTAGCACGGACACGATACAACATAGATACGTTGATATGTCAAATTTTAAAAGAGTAGAACACGGGTACGGCACGGACACAGCTACATATAAATATAAATTTTTATTTTTATACATTTATTCAGTAATAGTATTATAAAACTTTAATTTATTTATAATTTTTATAGTAAGAGTTGCTATGAAATAAGTTAGAAAATGAAATTATGTCATTATTATAATAATTTTTTATATCATATGTATCATTATTTTATTACTTTTTATGATAGTATTTATATTATTTTTAAGATTATTAGATAGACTTGTGTTAGAAGTGTCCAGCAAGTGTTGGCGAAGTGTCCGAAATAATAAAATTAATTTTTATTTATCGACACGTATATGAAGTGTCGGACATATATTCGAGGAGTGTCGGTGTCCGACACGGGTACGATACGGGTACGCCTCCTTCATAGAAGTGTCCGTGTTTCCTAACAAGTGAGTCAGTGACTCGCTTTTCACATATGATTATAAATGTTCTATTAAAACAAAGTGAACTTATAATAAAACTAAAAGATTGATATATGTATTTTGGTGGAATATTTATAACCGTTCGTTACACCACATCTCTGTCAGGTTGTAATTAATAATCCTTTGGGTATGAAAATAAACAAAAAATGCCAATTAGATATATGCTCTAAGATAACACTAATCACTTGTTGCTTTAAGCTCCACAAAAACCACAATCTTGAAAGAAGGAAAAAAAAAATAAGGAAAAAGAAAAAAAAGTCCAAATCATAGAAAAATGAAGAACACTTCCAAGCATATAAACATTGCATAACTGGGAGAATCTAAAGGTGGGTGGTTTACAATGTGGATGAATCTATCAAAGGTGCTAGAGTTTAATCCAATGCGCTGAAGAGCCAAAATCCACGAGAGCGCTAGAGACTACAAGTAAAGCAAAGAGAGGATGAGAGAGAGAGTTGAAGAGGCAGTCAGTGCAAAATGCAATGCAGTAGCAGAGAGAGCCCTGGTTGAATGACCCATAGCCAAACCAGCTAACCATGATCCATCAGCCAATATAGCTTCAGATCCTGACCCTGAATCGGAGACTGTCATATCCGACCCTGACCCTAACCCTGCCGTTGTGGTACCTGACGATGAATCTTTTGAAGATTTTTGACTGCGTACCAAAAATGACACACACATTACATAAATATTCAGATAAATGTACATACCAAATGTATATTAAATGAGCTTTACAGATATTAATGGTTAATGTAATGGCCCTCAATGTTCAATTTGTATGGTAAATAAATTTAAATTTAAAAAAAAAAAAAAAAATGAACTCAATTTCAAGACATTAATTTTATGTAACCAAACATAACTAGCAATTAATTACTACACATCTCAACAAATAATTCAAAATTTTCAAATTAATTCTCGTATAAACAAAAACATATTAGTCGTTGTTTGCCCATATAAAAATCAACCTGTAATTATTACATAAATATACATATTGAACTTGGAATTAAATTCACACTTATCCTTTCTGTACTCAAAATTTTTAATAAATAAAAATAGTGAATTGTATAAGTATATGTAAGTGTGTTACAGATTTAGCTAACATAATCATAGTAATATCAAAAGAATAAGTAAGGTACTTCACCTTGGCATGGAGGGACAAAACGTCATCGTATAATCAGCACCTGTACACGTAAATGTGCTGGTAGGATCATCGTAAGCGTAGCTGTATGATCTGGGACAAGCCGACTTGAACATCTCCGAGTACACCGACGGCTTACAAGCGGCGGGTGAATTGTACGCGCCGCTACAACAGTACTCGGGACTCCCAAACACTTCGCACGCGCTTCTACAAGCCTCACCGTCACCGAACCTCAACTCAACCGGACACTGCCTGTTCAGGTCTTCCAAACACCCAGTCGACGCACACATACCCGACCCGCCACTCGCTTCGACTAACAACGGAATGTTGTACCCGTCCACGAGGCTGACGTCATAGAAATCTTGCCCACCAGTCCCGAGGCTGAACTCTGCCAGTGTGGCCGGCGGAGCCGCTCCAGCGCCGTTGCACTCCACCTGGCCCGACCCACAGTCCGCTGTGTTGCACGACCCAGAACCCGTTTGGTCAAAGTTGCATCCGGTTCGACCCCAGAAGCGGCCGGACCAACCAGTCGGAGCTTGGAAGGAGCGTGAGGTGTGTTGTGGGAGCTCGAATCCTGTGGTGTCGAGTGTAGGAGTGCCTGCGTTTGCAAGAATTCCTGGCCATACTGTGTACTCACATTTGTTCACAAAGGTAAATGTAGCCCCTAAAACACCTGAAAAGTAAAATTTTATTACTTAATTACTCCAGATTTCCTGAACAACAAGAACAACAACAAAAACTCAAGATCGCTGCTCGGATTTAGAATCTAAGATTTTAAACTAAATTTCTTCTAGTGATATATGTGTGCGCATTGTAGAGAGGAACATACATGTGAGAGAAAGGCAGTTCAAAGAATAGTTGTATTTACCTCTTGAAAGCAAAAGGAGATGAAAAGAAATGCTGAAAATGAGAGCTGAAGACATATCCATGTATTGAACAGAGGAAGAGAAGGTTGGTAGGATTTTATTTTATTTGTTTGTGAGTTAATTAGATGTTACTACTATTAAAGATGGTATTGGAGGGAAAGTAAAAGTAGAAAGAGTGCAATAATGGAGCGAACACTGTGAGGAAATGATGGAACAATGCGGGGCTTTATGTCCCGCATCAGCAGGTATCTATGACAATTGATATTGGATCCTCTGCCTAACTCAATTTTGTACACTACTTTCCAACTATTTTAATGAAAAAAACCGAAATAAACATCACGTTGAAAATGCAACACATTATCCAACACATTTGCATTAAAATGAAACAGCAGTCAAAAACTCAAAAAATTTTAATTCAAGAATGTAACATTTTTGCACTGATGTCACATATCCGCTGGTTGAACCTTCGATTTAAAAGCAAATAAAAATATGGGACAAAAATGTGCTTCAAAATTCCTACTAAGGAGCTCGAACCAGGGCTTTTAGCTTATTGTTGGGGCTATTTTTCGAATACATGCAAAGTAGAATTAAACAAATAAAACATTAGTGTTTTCCTCTTCCTTTTCTTTTTTATTTTTCTCGAGAAAAGACACAGAGTCGGTCAAAAGAAATTCCTTTTCCAGCTCCCTACTCCTTTTTTTTAAACTTAAAAGTAAATTTTTGCAAATGATGATGTTTGCTTAATTTGACACCTTTTGAGATTTACATCCTCGGGAGCCCACAACACACGGAGCAGAGACCATTCGATTCACACTTTACATGAAGCAAAGTCCCATGTTTGATTTTCTAGCAAATTTTTAGAGAGAATTAGAGGGTAAACGAGGAGTGACTTTTGCAACAGAATTTAACTTTTAAGGACAATTTTGTTCTCTATTGATTTGCTTTTTTTCTTTTTTAATGTGGCTGACAATTAAAGTGGATCATTTTGATGTTAAGTTTGAAATGTTCACAACCTGAAACGTGGTGGAACAGTCATTGATCTACCAAAAAAACGAAAAAGCTAAGAAAAATAATATAAATGTCAATCGAAATTTTGTACCGACTAATATAACAGCTACTAATGAAACACTTAATGACGAGAGAGAGAGTCCATTCTTATCTCTTTTTTTTTACAAAGAATTCTTGTTGCAATTCTAATTAGAATCACAATAAAAACCAATCGTTGTTGCATCATTACGCGAAAGAAAAATAGGTGTCACATGTGATTATGTTAGACCATGCACCTCATAAGATCTCTTATGTCACCGACTTCCATAAGAATATTAAGTCCGCGACACATTGTTCACATGCATGTAGTATAATTTTTAAACTCTAATCACATCCATCACATGGTGGAAAATCGAAACCTGGACTAATTCTTATACTGAACCGACCAAGCTTGCATTTGATTTTGCATTTAGAAAGCTTAACAGGTTTTGTGTTCCTTCACAATGCATTGGAAAATGTTTTGGTTTTGCCTCTGCTTTTCTTTAAGCCACTTTGTTGCACTTAAAAAGCGCAAGGAATTCAAAAGGTTGATGTGGAATATGGAGCAGTATTTCAAAACAACCCATAACATGTATATACATTTGACTGGGAATGCCAAGTTTCTCAAACAAGATTGGCCAAAGATCGATTTTTATGCAAACTCTAATTATGTTGCTCAAAATGAGTTGAGAAGAGTCAAAACATGAGGTTTTATGCAATAGTACATGATATATTTCAGTTCTCTGACGTTAGAGATGGAGAACATGTCTAAGGATAAGTTGTTCAACTTCATGGAGTAGTGTGTGTACCTGGGTAAACTGAAACTTCGTAAGATCTCCCGTCTACCGTGGTGGAAGTGGAATATTTGGTGGGGTTCAGCAACATCAAAAATCCCGAAGACCAACAGATTTTCTAATTATAATTCTAACTAATTGAATCTCCTATACATTGAAATTGTGGGCAAGATAGACAAACAGTAAATCTGAAGAGGTAGAAAAAAAAAAAAAAAAAAAGCAGCAAACAAGATATTTACAGAGTTACTTGAAGGAATTTTTCTGATCCCACAGTATGTAGAATCCTTGGTCAAGTGAATGAGGGAACTAGGACAGCAATAAAGCTCAAAAGATGAAACCCATTCTTCCTTCATCTGCATTTTTTGGTGAATCAGCCTGAAACTGTCCACCAGTGTTAGTGATAGGGAGTTATAGAAGCAGCCAAAACTGCAATATTGCTGCTAGAACAGAGACAGCACAGGCCACAATTTGTACTGGAACAGAACCTGGTGGTGAAACACTGCTCCCATGAATATACATCATTGTTTTATTAACTAGTGGCAGCTCTGCTACTTCCCTTCTTGCTCCCAGCAATTTTTGGCTGCAATAATCACACAAAAATAACATTTAACAAGATATAAATAAACTCTATATTGTTCTTTTAATGTATTGAGCCTGAGCCTATTCATTCAGACCAATGGCGTGAAAAAATCTAATTGATGTAATAGCTTTTGACCATTATCTGCTTTACATCTGAAGGTCTTTATGGATATGTTGAAGCAGATTTCCACTAATAGAGTTCAGACAGGACAGGAATCATCAATTTCAGAAATAGAACCCTTTGGTTATTTGTGCATTTAAGAACAATGCATGCATATTGTACCAGCTTCTTCCAAGTACTGAAGTACAATTCCTATTCTTTAATGTTAAACCTCCAATACCCACTCTAGGCATTTAACCACACTCGTTCAATTTTACAAGTAAAACTGATCCACTGCAAGCAAAAGTGAAATTATTAAAACCAACATGATGTTTCTATTAGTTAATTATTTGTTGATATCTATAGATCTATTAGATCCCAGGAAAATAATTTGAAGAATATTATAGAAATAAGGATCGAGTAGGAGTTTATGAGAACAAGTGAAAAATAACGACAAGAAAATAAATAAAGCGCACACACAAACGAGACAAGGATTTACGTGATTCGGCTGTACCTACATCCGCGGGGAGAAGACAGAACAATATTTCACTATGGAATTAAAGATATACAATGCTTAAGTGGCTAAACCCAAAACCCAATTACACTCAAAACTCTCCAACTCTTTGTTTTTCTTTACTAAGCAATTCACTTTCAAATTTTTTGATGATACTTGGATGCCATGGGCTAGGCTATTTATAGCCAACATTCCATCACACAGATTGAGAACTTGGTGATCACGCATGGAAAGCACAACTTGGAGATCACGCGCAGGAAGCTTGCTGAATACAAATCTCGGAGGGCAAGATGATGATGCAATGAATGATGTAAATGGATGATGCAAGTGCTGACATCAGAATTGAGCCAAAAAGTCAACAAATCTCCACCTTGGCGAAAATTCAATGAGCCACTATATCTCTGCAAAACAAACTATCTTCTCCACTAAGCCCCTAAGGGCAATTTCAACATTTGAGAATACCAACCAAGTCCAAGCAATGCTTGAACTTGAGAGCCGGAATAGACTTAGTCATCATATCCGTCGGATTTTCAGTTGTGCCAATTTTCTTCAATGTAGTAATTCCTTCTGATATGACATCCCGAATAAAATGATATCTGACATCAATGTGTTTGGTTCTCTCGTGATACATTTGATTTTTGGTCAAATATATCGCACTCTAACTGTCACAATAAATAACAGTTGAGCTCTGCTACAAACCCAAAATACTAACCAAACCTCTCAACCAAATGGTTTCCTTCACTGCTTCAGTGGCCGCCATATATTCTGCTTCTGTAGTAGAGTGAGCAACTGTGGATTGCAAAGTTGCTTTCCAACTAACTGCACAACCTGAGAGAGTGAAGACGTATCCTGTCAGAGATCTTCTTCTATCTAAATCACCAGCGTAGTCGGAGTCCACAAAACCAACAACACTGCCAAAATCATCACTGCTCTTCTGATAAACTAAGCTAATATCTGCAATACCTTTCAAATACCGAAGAATCCACGTCACGGCTAGCCAATGCTCTTTTCCTAGATTATCCATATATCTGCTAACTACACTAACTGCATGTGAAATATCAGGGCGAGCGCAAACCATTGCATAGATCAAGCTACCAACTGCACTAGCATAAGGAACACGTGACATGTGCTCCTTCTCTTCTTTAGACTGCGGTGATAAAGCTGCAGAAAGACGAAAATGAGCAGCAAGTGGTGTGCTCACAGGCTTGGAATTCTGCATGTTGAACCGCTTAAGCACTTTCTCAATATAACTCTTCTGTGACAAACTCAATCTGCCAGCTTGACGATCCCTTTGAATTTCCATGCCCAAAATCTTCTTCACTGCACCGAGATCTTTCATCTCAAATTCAGTATTCAACTGAGATTTTAACTTGTTGATTTCTGACATGTCTTTTGCAGCAATAAGCATATCGTCAACATATAGCAACAAGTATACAAAAAAACCATCTGAGAGCTTCCGGTAGTAGACACAACTGTCATAGCTACTTCTTAAATAGCCATGTCCAACCATAAAAGTGTCGAACCTCTTGTACCACTGCCTTGGAGATTGCTTCAACCCATACAAGGATTTCTTCAACAAACAAACATGGTCTTCCTTTCCCTGAACAACAAACCCCTCTGGCTGATGCATATAAATTTCTTCTTCAAGCTCACCATGTAGAAAAGCTGTTTTGACATCAAGTTGCTCAAGCTCTAAGTCAAATAGAGCAACCATGGCAAGTAACACGCGGATAGAGGTGTGTTTCACAACTGGTGAGAAAACTTCATTGAAATCCACACCTTCTCTCTGACTATAACCCTTTGCCACCAAACGTGCTTTGTACCTTGCATCTTCAACACCTGGAGTTCCTTCCTTTTTCTTGAAGACCCATTTGCAACCAACAATTTTCTGGCCTTTAGGAGGTTTCACCAACTCCCACGTCTGATTCTTGTGAAGAGATTCAATCTCCTCAGTCATAGCAACAGTCCATTTGGCAGATTCGTTTCCTGTAACAGCTTCTTGGTAGGTGGAAGGCTCTTTATATTCAAAATTTTCTGCCACAGACAAAGCATAAGCAACTAAATCTGCATAAGCATACCTCTCAGGAGGTTTAATCCACCTTTTCTGTCTCCCTGTAGCAATACTATACTGTTGCTCATCTAGTATTTGATCATTCTGCACCTCTTCAACATCGGGCTGAACTGGAGTGCTGTCTTGTTTCTCTGGAGCTTCAAAATCATGCTCCACCTGCTGCTTAACACCTGAGATTCACCTGTAACAAAAGACTCATTTCTCGGGTGAAGTAAAGCAAACTCATCAAAAGTAACATCTCTGCTGGTAATAAACTTAGGTGACTTTGGATCAGGACACCACAACCTGTATCCCTTCACCCCGAATGTATAGCCAATAAAAATACATTTCTTGGCTCTAGGCTCAAGTTTTCCTTCATTAACATGAGCATAAGCAGGACATCCAAAAATTCTTAAATTAGAATAATCAGCAGGAGTACCAGACCGTACCTCTTCAGGTGTTTTACACTCAACAGCAGTCGATGGTGACCTGTTCACCAGATAGCAAGCTGTGTTGACTACTTCAACCCAAAATCCCTTAGACAACCCAGCATTGAAAAGCATACAATGAGCTCTTTCCAAGAGAGTTCTATTCATGCGTTCTGCTACACCATTCTGTTGTGGAGTCTTTCGAACTGTATGGTGTCTGACAATGCCTTCATTACTGCAGAACTCGTCAAACTCTCCTGAGCAAAATTCTAAATCGTTATCTATTCTGAGACGCTTGATCTTCTTTCCGGTCTGCTTTTCAATCATGGCCTTCCACTGTTTAAATTTAAGGAACACTTCATGTTTTTGCTTCAAGATATAAATCCAGACTTTCTTGGAGAAGAAGTCAACATATATCGTTAATCACCAAAAGAGGGAACTCTGGAAGGACCCCAAAGATCTGAATGAATGTAATCAATAGTGCCCTTGGTCCTGTGAACAGCTGTACTGAACTTGAGTCTCTTCTACTTGCCAAAGACACAATGCTCGCAAAAGTCCAACTTTCCTGTCCTCTGTCCACCTAGCAAACCTCGTTTGCTCAATTCTGTCAAACCCCTCTCACTCATATGCCCTAAACGCATATGCCATAGATGGGTAGTTTCTGAATCTTGATCAACTGAGGAAGATACTGAAGCAGCGCCTGTCACAGTACTACCCTGCAAAAAATAGAGGCATTTTCTCTGTTTTCCCTTAAGCATAGTAAGAGCACCTTCAGAAACTCTCAAAACTCCACCTTCAGCTGAAAACTTATAACCATTAGAGTCAAGAGTACCAAGAGAAATTAAATTCTTTTTCAAATCTGGAACATGCAAAACATCAGTTAAAGTTCTAACAATACCATCATGCATCTTAATTTGGATTGTGCCTATGCCAACAGTCTTACAGGGATTGTCGTTCCCCATTAAGACAGTACCACCATCAACATAACGGTAAGTAGAAAACCAGTCCATATTGGGACACATATGATAGGAACAACCAGAATCAAGAATCCATTCACTACTGAAGTGACAATCACTGACAGAAACTGAAAGAACATTTTCAACATCCGAGGAACTTTCCTCAGCAACCCCAACAATATCAGAAGAATTACTAGTGGATTTATCCTTAGACTCCTTTTTATCCTTTTTATCTTTCTTCTTATTTTCCAATTTTGGACAATTCCACTTAATGTGCCCTTTTTGATGATAATAATAACATTCAGTATCTTTATGAGACCTAGATTTAGATCTTGATTTGCCCCTACTACCATAGCCCTTTTTCTCACTTCTTTCCCTCACAACCAGACCCTCGACCTGTTCATCTCCATTATTTCCAGACACCTTTTTTCTCAACTCTTGAGAGTTCAATGAGGATTTAACATCCTCCATACTAATGGTATCTTTTCCACAGAACAATGTGGTAACAAAATGCTCATAGGAAGGAGGCAAAGAACACAAGAAAATAAGGGCCTGATCTTCTTCATCAATTTTAATATCAGTATATTTCAGATCCATAATAATAGAATTGAAATTATCAACATGTTCCTTAAGAGGCATACATTCCTTCATACGAAGGGTGTAGAGTCTCTGTTTCAAGTAAAGTCTGTTGGTGAAAGACTTCGTCATGTGCAGACTCTCCAATTTCAGCCACAACTTTGCCGCCGTGTCTTCATCAATAACTTCACGCAACACCTCATCAACAAGATTCAGGAGAATCGCACTGCGCGCCTTTTCATCAACCTCATCCTTGTCTTCATTGGACATAGTTTCTGGCAACTTGTCCTTCCTGAACAGCACATTCTTTAGACCTTGTTGAGTCAGCAGAACCTGCATCTTGATGCGCCAAAGACTGAAACTAATCTTGCCATCAAATTTCTAAATTTCATATCTAGTTGACATCTCAAAAAACTCCCCCAAAAAATTCCTCAGTGAATAGTACCGTATTTGTGAACAGTACCCAAAAAATATCTATTAACAATACCGTATGTGATAACAGTATCTGTACACAATACATAAACCGAGCTCTGATACCAGTTTGTTATGGAAATAAGGATCGAGTAGGAGTTTATGAGAATAAGAGAAAAATAAACGACAAGAAAATAAATGAAGCGCACACACAAACGAGACAAGGATTTACGTGGTTCGGCTGTGCCTACATCCACGGGGAGAAGACAGAACAATATTTCACTATGGAAATAAAGAGATAAAATGCTTAAGTGGCTCACACCCAAAACCCAATTACACTCAAAACTCTCCAACTCTTTGTTTTTCTTTACTAAGCAATTCACTCTCAAATTTTTGGATGATACTTGGATGCCATGGGCTAGGCTATTTATAGCCAACATTCCATCACACAGACTGAGAACTTGGTGATCACGCATGGAAAGCACAGCTTGGAGATCACATACAGGAAGCTTGCTGAATACAAATCTTGGAGGCCAAGATGATGATGCAATGAATGATGTAAATGGATGATGCAAGTGCTGACATCAGAATTGAGCCAAAAAGTCAACAAAGAACTTAAAATTGAGTTGAATGCAAGTCAATTGTCCAAAACAGACTTTATCCCAGTTCCCATCAAATTGGAAAGCTGTTAAGAGGGTTGCAAATTGATGTCGGTGTAGCTCTACCCTCAAACTGAAGACCCATAAAATTTAATATCAACCAGAACTTATCATTCAGTATAAAAAAGAAACCATTCGGGAAAGCAACATTATCATTAAACATGATAATAAACAAATGGAGGATAATTTCTCCAACACATGGACACTGCAAACCACTAAAAGCTGCGAAACAAACATTTTAGTGGACGTAATCTTTGACAACTAAACGAGCACTTAGAAAGTTAAAATAAAAATAAAAATTCAATGCCAAATAAGCATCATATGAGAGTCAAGTGGTTTCAGAAATATGAGAGAGTTTTTGGCCAATTGCATTTCTTACCACATTTGTTGTCACATTGGGGATAGATGACAGGCAAGCATTTTTCTTTTCAATTAAACAACCAAATAGCTAGAAAGTCTCTCTCCCCTCCCTCCCTCTCCCTCTCTCTCGAGTCTCACGATCCATCATTGATGTGGGGCGCACATGATGGCAGCAAAGCAGAGGATAGATTTCACCAAAAGAAAAGCATACAGAATTCTGGTGGATAGAGAACTGCAGTGCTCTCTTGAAGTGTATGAGCGCATGCTAAAAAGCAAAAAAACAAAACCACCCTGCAAGAGATCCACAAGTCAAAAATGAAGAGGGCGTCTAAGTTCATTCTACCTGACCTTTCTGCTTTCCATTTAACAAGGTCGGCCCATTATTCATGAACAGAGATATGCCTTTCTGTTGAACAAAATCACAACTACTTCTAAATGGGTGAAAGAGAATTCCCCTTCCCGCTACCCTATGCTCCTAGGTTCGAACCCCCTAACCGCCCACTAACTCCTAACTCCTAACTCTCTAACCATTGCCAGGGATACTAATTCGGGAATTTCCAAATGATCAAAGAGGGATATTTTCAGAAAATGTGGGAGATCGATAGTCAATCGGCAATAAGGAAAAGAGAGAGAGAGAGCAAAGAGATGCTTATAATTCTAAATGAATTCAAGTCTGGTAATTCATGACATACTGATAGTATTACTTAAATCTGATCGTTATCAAAAAAATTCAGCATGAAGCCCAGTAACTTTGAGCTGTGTATAAAAGGCACATAGTGACATAGACCAATCTTCTTGATTATGTCAGAGAGAGAGAGAGAAAGAGATGGATCATCCAAACAAAATATTAAAAAGAGCTTCAATAAAAATATTCATGACCACCTTAGGAAACATCAAATATATTCATTAGCTTCATTGGTACTATATTCAAGACATACAAGTTACCCAATTTGATTCCGAAGAAATACTAAAAGCACCAGTATTTTGCTAAATATATGTTAATCATCTTAGTTAAAACTTCAAAGTTCAAACCAATCTACACATGCTAATTAAATAGACATGTATACCAGCATGGCGAACCTAATTCAATGTGCGTGTGCATCCTAAAAGGCAAGGTGCCATAACTTAACTATGCCCAGCTAACAATTAAATAGACATGTATACCAGCACGCTGAACCTAATTCAATGTACCTGTGCAAAGCAAAGGTGTCATAACTCATCAACTATGCCCGACTAACAATTTTTAGGTTGAGAGCTCATTAAATAGCTGGTAGGTTATAAATTGCTAAAAGGTAGACTATTAAATGTTTCATGAGCCTTGGTATGGAAATTCAGTAGAGAAAGAAAAATTAAAGCAAGAAATGATTTTTATTTTGTCATATTTTGAAAACAAAGAATAATACAAAAGGAAAATCCAAAATACATTGCGCCATGTCATAAACCATAGTTCTACATATACATAACAAGCTAGAGGAGTACATATTTGGAGACCTCGGCCAAAAGCACCATATATAGAGAGAGCTTGTTCAATTAAGAAATGTTAACACTTCTACATTTATTCTTGAAATGCCAAATACTACGGAAATTGAAAGAACATGAAAGCTACCATGGTAGATCCTAACTACTACCTCCGTCCCATATTAGTTGTCCATTTCGAAAACTTTGACTCGCTACTACCTTTTATTTTTGAGTCATTTGAGGTCATTTTTAGTAATATTCCTTTTATATACTTACATACTATCTCTTATAAGATGTCTACTTCGGTAACTTTGACTCACAATTTTTTTGAGTCAAAGTTTTTGAAGTGGACAACTAATATGAGAGTAGTAGTTAGGATCTACCATAGTAGCTTTCATGTTCTTTCAATTTCCGTAGCTATTTGGTTGTGGATTTGCATTGTATCTTCTATTATTTCAAGTGATATTGCTTGTATATTAGCTTTCGATGCTTGCAAATTATTATATAGTAAGAAAAGGAAGAAATATAAATTAAAAGCTCACCCGAGGAGACTAGTACACAAATTTATTAAATTTTATTCGGAATGATACAAATAAGTGATGTGGCTTGACATAAAAAAAAAAAAAAAAAAAATTTAAATTAAAAAAATGATAATTTTAGAATCTTAAAAAATATTAATCCAATTTCTCTATATAATCACTTTATTATATCGGACTCAATGTTTTCTACAATGACTAGGGTCCTAATCAGTTCAAGTTGTCTATCATTCTGTATCATAATGCATAATTAATGCAACGCAACACGAACAATACGGGTAAAAGAATAATCACGCACATGATAGAATTGCTGGTGTGTTGTTTCAATTGGCTTAACATTCTGTATCATAATGCATAACTAAGATTCTTTCTTGGAAACGAGAGTTTCTCCATTATCCTAGCCGCACTCACTCCACTTGCACACTCGCGTGCTTGCGGGCTGACTCTCACCCTTGTAGCCTCTCTCCTCTGGAGGTTGTGGGTTACAAATGAATTTCTCACCTATATATTGGTATCATATCTTTCCTCTAGAACTTTCTACATGTAACATTTACTAATTACTTACAATCTATGAACTCTTTCCTATTTAAAATCTTTCACTCTTTACAAATATCTACAATCTCTCCAGTATTCTGAAATCTTCTTACCCTCTCTCTCTAACACTTCACAATCTTCTAGAAAACTCTAAAACCCAACTCCACTCATGCCATGCAAAGCCTCCTCAGTGCTCGCCCAAGGCAGAATCTCCTTGCAAATTGGCGGAACATGACATTATGCTCTTGTATACTTGGGAGAAGCTTATTGTTTCCTATAAAAAGTTCCTCCTTTAGCTAATTAATGTTATGATCACATTGCACTTCTGCACCATACAGTGGCGGAGCCACATTGAGAATTGCCCCTACTGGACTTTTGTGTTGTTAGTAGTTTTTATACTGTAGTTCTAACATTTCTAAAATTGCCCACTCTGAACCCCTACAAAAAAATAAAAAATAAAAAAACCTTTTAAGAAAATTTTCAAAATTCAAAAACATCCTTTATTTTCTAACTCACTAAAAATTATTTTTTTCTCCTTAACTGGATCTCAAAATTTTAAAAATCAATATTCAGGAAAGACCTTTCCTTTGCTATGTATAAATTTTGGTTCGAATTTTCTTAGCATACTATTGTTATTGGTTACCCCCTCTAAAGTCAATTCCTGGCTCTGCCACTGCATGTATACCCTAATTTTATGAAAAAAAATATCTTGTTTAACCACCCACTGCTCATCAACAAAAGACACAGATATATGTAATTTTATGTTTGCTCAAAATCCATTACCTGCATTATATTTTATTGTAAAAAAGTAGTAGATATAAAGGAAGATTATAAAACACAATTTATAGGTCTAAATTTCTAATTCAATTCCAAACTACAACTACATAGTCAACAAACATCCTAAGAACTATAAAATTCCAGTCACAAAGTAGCATCTTATTCTAAAGTCATTTAATCACTCAACACTTATTTGCTTTAACTTTATTAATATGTAAATATAAAATTCACATGCTTTTTTTTTTAATCATAAAATTCACATGCTTCATCATATCATATTATATAATACAAAAAACTATCATATGAAGTGATAAGGGAAAATAATACTAGTAATAATAATACTGATTATACATATATGTATGCTACAGACGAAAGAGCCCCAATTGCCGTGGACAGTGAATAGACTAAACTAACCATGCACATAAAGAAACAACTTAAGCGAAAGAAACAATTCAGAGGGATTATGAAGGAATTTCACCTCGTGAAAGGTGAGGGGCAGAAAATGATAATGTAGTCCGCGCCCGCACAAGTGAAGGTGCTGGTCTTGTCATCGTAAGCATAGCTATACGAACGTGGGCACGCGTGCTTGAAGAACACCGAATACGGCGACGGTGGACACGTGTCCGGCGTAGAGTACGCACCACTACAACAATACTGGGGATCACCAAACGCCTCGCACGCGCTCTTGCACGCGACGCTCGCACTCCCATTTCCACGCGCCACCCTCAGCCCCGCCGGGCAAACCCCGTTCAGATCCACCAAACACCCGGTGGAGCTGCATCCCCCTCTTGTACCTCCCTTGGCCACCACCAGCATCGGGAGGTTGTACCCATCCACCAGGCTGACGTCATAGAAGTCCAGCCCTTGATCGCCGTTAAGCGTGAACTCGGCGAGGGTGGCGGGGGGTATTGCGCCACTCCCGGCGCACTCTATCTTGCCGGAACCGCAATCGCCGGTGACGCAAGAGAACTTGCCGGTGGAGTCTCGGGAGCAGTGGGTCCGACCCCATAACCGACCCGACCAGGCGTGGGGAACGGAGAGGGTCTTGGATTTGCCGCTCTTGAGGGTGAAGCCGGTGGGGGTGAGTACAGGCCTATCGGCGCCCGTTAGTATTCCGGGCCATACCGTGCGCCGACACTTGTTGATTATCGTGAACGATGTTGAGTGTACCTCTGTCGATCAGAAAAAGAATCAGCAACAAAAAAAAAAAAACGACAAGATCGGACAAGATTGAAATCTAATTGAGAAGAAAGGAAAGTAGAGGATGATTAATTGATGTGATTACCTGAGATGACGAGAAAGAAGGTGAAAAGGAGAGAGAGAATGGTGGCGGAGATGAAGACCCGATCCATTTCATTTGGAAGCAGAGTGAGAGTGAGAATAATGGGTGGGTTTGTCCACAAGTTTCTACTTTTCCTTTGCCTTTTCTTTCAGTGGAATTAAAGAAAAAGGCGGCAATAAGTGGCTCTCTCACTCTCATTCCCCTTTTACTGTATTTGCCTATGCTTAAATGTCACTTATTTATTGGGTTTATGATTCATCTTCTCCAACGCCACAAATCCAAAAGTAAAGGAAAAGAAAATGAGGGAAAATTTTCAGGCCTCTTTGGTTTAAAAAAGTGAGAGAAATTAAATGAATAGAAAAACGAAAGAGGCGTTTATTAATTCATCTAATTAGCCTTTCTATTTTTTTACTTCTTTTGTCCTATAAAAAATGTCATGTTTGGAGAACTGAAAAAAGGAAGAAGTGTTTATTAATTCATCTAATTAGCATTGTTATCTTTTTACTTCTTTCGTCCCATAAAAAATGTCATGTTTGGGGAACCGTGTCGATTTTCCAAACATGACATTTTTTTGTCAGTTCCTCAAACATGACATTTTTTATGGGACGGAGGGAATAATATTTTAGATTTTTTGTTCATTTGCATGAAATTGAAAAAATAGTTTACTATAACATAATAAGTGTTTTAGTAAAGAAAATTACAAAAAAAACTAGTGATAAAAGGATATATTTTTATTTTCTTAAACTTGAAAAAACATTTTACTCCTAAAAAATATTTTGATTTAAAATGACCACCGAAGGTTGTTTAAGATCCTAGGCTTAATTTGGTTAGATAGAAATTAAAAAAAAAAAAAAAAAAGGAAAAATGAAAATTTTTAACCTTCTTAAGAGTTGGGTTAGTTAAAAAAAGAAATTTCGTGGGAAATTAACTTTTCATAACCACCCAATTTTTCTATAAAATTTTCCTACAAAAAATACAGAAAAATTTTGCTTTTTTGAAAAAATTATATGAAATTTCAATTATACCACATTTTCAATTTCTAAAATAAATTGTGTTTATGCATGATTTTTTGTTAGAATATTATATTATATTAGTAATCTCTCTTTACGTATTTTACAAAATTTTGTTATATTACTTTTATTTTTAAAAAAATAAAAATATTTATTAAATATAAATTTATTTATAACTATTGTCATATTTAATATAAAAAATAATGGACAATTCATGTAAATCATAATATTTTTTATTAACTTTTACAATATCTAAATTATAAAATGAGATTTTCTCTTCTTAAAACAATTTCATGCTAACTAAATAATTCTAGAAAATTTCGTTTCAAGTCAGACCGTGGTATCTAACTTTTCTTGTCCATGAAGAAAATCTTCTTATAAGATTTGATGTATTAGTCCCTCTTACACAATTTTGATAAAATAACTCAAATTTTAAACAAATCTATAAAAATTAAAAGAAAAAGATTACTTATAAACTTTTGTTCGCTGCTAAATGTGTGTATTTTATTAACTTCGACCATATTGATGAAAAGAAAAAGACCTTAATAATACAATAATGATTGATATAAATTTTGATTTAGCTAATAATTGACAATAGCAGGACAAGACAGATTTTTCCTTTTGCTTTTCAAATTATCTCTGTTTGGATTAGGCTCAGTAGGGTTAATTTCAATGACAAATTTTATATGGAGACAATTTTTTAAAAATGGGTAAATTGCACCAACTGTTCCACCCCTACATATTATAGGAATATATAAATATATATATATATATATACTATTATTAAATGTGCAAAGTGTTTCAGTGTTTCAGTATTTCAGTATTTATTTATTTATATAAAAAAATATTTATTAATTGATATAAAAATAGTTTTTGTAAAAATAGTTTCTATAAAACTTTAAAAATTACCTAATAAAATCAATCACGTTCTACATAAAACTCTTATTTTTAGTTATTTTTTATAAAATATTTATTAATTGATATAAAAAGAGTTTTTATCTATATTATTATTAGACGTGTAGAGAGTTTCATTATTTATTTAAATAAAAAAATATTTATTAAATGATCTATACTATTATTAAATGTGCAAAGTATTTCAGTATTTATTTATTTATATAAAAAAAATATTTATTAATTCATGTGCAAAGTATTTCCGTATTTATTTATTTATATAAAAAAATATTTATTAATTCATATAAAAATAGTTTTTATAAAAATAATTTGTAAAACTTTAAAAATTACCTAATAAAATCAATCACATTCTATATAAAACTTTTATTTTTAGTTATTTTTTATGAATAATTATAGTTTCTATAAAACTCTAAAAATTACCTAATAAAATCAATCACATTCTATATAAAACTCTTTTTTTTAGTTATTTTTTATAAATAATTATCACAATATAACTGGCCTGGCCTAATTATGATTATGTCATTATCAGAAAATGACACATGTCATCATCCTATTCATTCAGGAAGTTTATAAATAGAGGCATGGAGGAAGGAGGAAGGGATACAGAAATTGAGAATTCTAAATATCCAGAATTTCAGAGTAAAATACAGAATCTCTATTAATTGAGTTGAATTTCAGAGTAAAATACAAAAGCTCTGTCAAGAGTTTTCATTATTTATTTATATAAAAAAATATTTATTAATTGATATAAAAAGAATTTTTATCTATATTATTATTAGATGTGTAAAGAGTTTTATTATTTATTTAAATAAAAAAATATTTATTAAATGATATGAAAAGAGTTTTCCTAAAACAAAGAAAAAAAAACTATAAAACAGTAAAATCTACGTAATAAAATTTAAATTAACCTATTTATCTATTTATTATTATCCATTTTTAATAAAAGAAAATCTAATTAGACAAGATTTATTAAGATAAAAAATATTTATTAATTGATATATAAAATAAAATAATTTTATAAAACTCTACCACAAATTAGCTTTTATTATGAGTATCTTAATAAAATTAAAACTAACTAGAAAAGTATATATTTAAATAAAATAAAATAATTTTAATAAAACTCTATTACAAATTACCTATTTTATTATCAATAAAACTCTATCAACAAAGATATATTTAAAGAGTTTGTATAAAACTCTAACGTAAATTACCAATTTATCATGAGTTTTTTTAATAAAAGGAAACCTAATTAGACAAGTATTATTAATATAAAAAATTATTTATTAACTGATAGAAAATGAGGTTTTTTGAAGAGTTTTTAAAACACAAATTACTCATTTATCTATTTATTTTGAGTCTAATTAGACAAGAATTATTAAAATAAAAAATATTTATTAATTAATATAAAAAGAGTTTTTAAAAGAGTTTATATTAATTTAACACAAATTACCTATTTATTTATTTATTACAAGTTTTTTAATTAAATAAAATCTAATTTACCTAATAAAACCAATCACACTCTATATAAAACTCTTATTTTTAGTTTTTTTTTTTTTATAGATAATTATAGTTTTTATAAAAATTTAAAAATTATGTAATATAATCAATCATATTCTATATAAAACTCTTATTTTTAGTTTTTTTTTATGGATAATTATAGTTTTTATAAAAATCTAAAAATTATCTAATAAAATCAATCATATTCTATATAAAACTCTTATTTTTTGTTATTTTTTAGAAATAATTATCACAATATAACCGGCCCGGCCCATTTATGATTATGTCATTAACAAAAAAGGACATATGTCATTATCCTATTCATCAAAGAAGCCTATAAATAGAGGTATAGAGGAAGGAGGAAGGGGTATAGAAATTGAGAATTCTAGAAATCTAGAATTCCAGAGTAAAATACAGAAATTCTTCAATTCCAGAGTAAAATACAGAAACTCTGTTAGAGAGTTTGAGTATTTCAATATTTAATTTATTTATTTATATAAAAAAATATTTATTAATTGATATAAAAAGAGTTTTTATCTATACTATTATTAGATGTGTAAAGAGTTTCAATATTTATTTATATATGTAAAAAAATATTTATTAAATAAGATGATAAAACACTAAAATCTACATAATAAAATTTAAATTAACCTATTTATCTATTAATTATTCTCAATTTTTTAATAAAACAAATCTAATTATAAAAGAATTATTAATATAAAAAATATTAATTAATTGATATATAAAAGAAAATAAAATAATTTCTATAAAACTCTATTACAAATTACCTATTTTATTTTCCATAAAACTCTATCAACAGTGTTTCTATAAAATTCTAACACAAATTACCTGTTTATCTATTTATTATGAGTCTTTTAATAAAAAGAAACCTGATTAAACAAGTATTATTAATATAAAAAATTATTTATTAACTAATACAAAAAGAGGTTTTAAAAGAGTTTTTAAAAAACTCTAACACAAATTACCTATTTATCTATCTATTATTAATTTTTTAATGAAACTAAATGTAATTAGACAATAATTATTAAAATAAAAAATATTTATTAATTGATATAAAAGAGTTTTTAAAAGAGTTTATATTAAACTCTAGCACAAACTACCTATTTATTTATTATAAGTTCTTAAATATAAGAGAATCTAAGTATACAAGAATTATTAATATAAAAAATATTTTTAATTGATATAAAAAATAAAATAATTTTTCTAAAATTCTACCACAAATTACCTTTTATTATGAATTGTTTTTTTTTTTTTTTTTAATAAAAGCTAATCTAATTAGATAGGAATTATTAAAATATAATAATATTTTTTAATTCATGTAAAAAGAGTTTAAAAATATTTTCTATAATACTCTAACACGTATTACAAATTACAATTTTTTAATAAAAGAAAATCTAATTTTCAGAGTAAAATACAGAAGATCTACCAAAGTGTTTCAGTATTTATTTAATTATATAATAAAATATTTATTAATTAATATAAAAAAAATTTATCTATACTATTATTAAATGTGCAAAAAGTTTCAGTATTTAAGTATCTATTTATAAAAAAATATATTTATTAATTGGTATGAAAAGTATTTTTTTTAACAAAAAAAAAAAAAAAAAAAAAACTCTATCAAACTCCAAAATCTATATAATAAAATTTAAATTAACCTATTTATCTATTTATTGTTATGAATTTTTTAATAAAAGAAAATTGAATTTGACAAGAATTATTAATATAAAAAATACTTATTAATTGATATATAAAATA